TTTTTTTTTCTTTTTTCTTTGTTTGTATTTGATATGGATTGGACCTTTTAACTTAAATTTAGATCCATAATCCAGTAACTATATAGAAATCCATTGCTGATATTCATAATTTCACGTGATGATGAAATAATGATGCTTTTTTACTAAATTTTTTGATTTTTTGCTTTCTAGGTTATGTTTAACTCATTGGTGATGAAATTGTTTACGTTAAATTGAGTAACGTGCTGTTAACTTAAATTTATATCCATGATTTTTTCAATTTTTTGCTTTCTAGGGTATGTTTGACTCTTTTCTTTATTTCTTTATTTCAATTGAGTAACACGCTGAAGTTGGTTGTGTACACCCCAACGAAAGCATGAAGACTGATTCCGACAAATAAATGCTAAACAAAGATAGACACAAAATAGCCAATTCAAAAGAAAACATATGAAATTGTTTACAAATCAAAGGTAGATACAAAGGCAGGCACTCGACAAATGTTACCCAAAGCAGCCATTGCACGTATATTTTATAACTTAAATTAGTCTCTGTCACAAACAAATTCTAGAATAATTATTACAGTAACGCTCCACCAAAAATTTATTTGATTGCTTTTAATTCTAGTGTGTAGAATTAAAGCATATAACAACAAGCATACACACATGCATATATATAAGTCGTTGATCCGGTAACAGTTTGCAAGTGGTAACAGCGTTGCCAAGAAGAACAATTGGAAGAGTAATTGGCGTGTAGCCCCCTTGAATCTTTTACTTTCTTTCAAACTACAATTTTAGTTTTCCAAGCGCACGGTAAAGAAAATTCGCTTCATCTTAGTCTTCTGCTTTCCTTCGTCTTACATTGTTATAAAAATCGCTGGATATTAATCGGATCGCAGCTATTTCAGCAGAAACTTTTTCCAACTCATGCCATGTGCTAGTTTTGTTTTTTTATGTTTTGCGATCGATGTTAGCAGCATTTACAGGCTGCGGAAAAGATCGCATAACACGATGCACTCCTTATCATATCAGACGAAGATTCTCTCTCCAACTTTCTGCACTAAATTTGTCGTTGATATGCAACCTAAATCAACTGACGATTTTTTTGAAATAAAATTGATCTCTCAATTAGCTGCTTCTCACTTGAAGATTCACTTTAGTTATACCAATGTATTTCAGTGAGGTTTCGTAAGATAGATCTTCGAAAGAGTGGACCCTAATGCAAAACAAAAAAACAAAACATAATTTTTTTTCTGTAATATGATCAGCCACACGCATGTATCAGAGTTCATCTGAATGTGAATAGTTTCTTAATTCGTGAAAAAAAAAGAACCGACCTTTATCAACCATCGGTTTGGTCGCGAATTCGAGTTAATTTTCAAATACGTGATTACCCTTTTGCATATAATATATATTTTGATTATTAAGCGTTGCTAAGAAGCACTTTGCCGGGAGCTAGGTAAAGATGTGAAAGGACAGTAAATAAAATTGGATATTTAATAATTCTTGCATGTCTTGATTAATAATGAATGCATTTTTAAAAACAAAAATTTATGCCGGACACGTGCACATGCTTGTACCGCGTCACGTACAGAAATATAAATGCCAAATACTGGATAAACGTAAACGTCCTGTAGCGTAAGCGTAATATGCCATACGCAATCGCTCAAATAAGCAGTTGCTAATGTGTATACGTATATGTGAAAACGCATGAAAAGCACCCATGACACAGCGAAGTAGCAACACGAAAGAAGCGTTGCAATCATAGTGATACTTAATTTCTTAAAAGTTAATTAAGGCAAGTCAGCGATAACCAAAATATGAACTCATCGAATTTTGAAGGAATGATGTTAAAAGAGGTATTTCGAAATTTCAATATCGGTCTTTGTTTGTCCAGTTATATAAATTCTGGGATGTCTCTAAGCTTTGGATTTAGTGCCTAGACTAATAAAATTGATATTATTTAGGAAAACTGGATAACCAATAATCTCCTTTATCAATTTTATCATGAAGGTAATAAATTATTGAAGTCTAACAAAATAAAAAAAAAGAAACTACGACATTTAAATTCTTAAAGCCGAAAAATTGTTTACCATGGCGTTTCTAAGGTATTACCAATAGATTTATACTTGTGTATTTTCAAATGTTAGTAAATAATAGATACCGTATTACGCTACGGGCGGCAAAAATTAAGATATCTGTTTTAAATCTCATGGTAACCACAACTCAAGAAACGGAATGTCAAAAAATTGACTGTTATAAGTTTTTATTATTTAATATATGCTTATTAATAATTTACACCTATTACTTAGAATATATTTCATATCTATTGGGTAAGCTTAGTAAAAAGAACTTTAAAAGTTGCTTTTCCGATTTGAACATAGATTTTCCCCTTCAAATTATTGTATTTTAGAAAGTGTTGCAAGTTAGGATGATCATTTCAAAATCTACGTTAATAGCATCTTTTAATATAAACGATAGTTAGTGTTTAAATAATTTTTAACTTTTTTCTTAATTTTATATCTACTCCATGTGTTGTTAAGTACATGTTAATTTTCAGGTATTGTTTTACGTCTTCCACATTTTTATTTTTTGTATTTATTTTACATTTGTTGTTCGGTTTGCTCACTTTGTTGTATAATTTCAGCAAAAGCCGGTGGCGATTTAAAACTTAGAACTTCTGCGAAGACCAATTCTTTCCATTTCTCAACGGGCAAATCCATGTCTTCGAAACTTTGATCATAGAGTGGTGAAATCTGTTCATCACTGGGATCATGATATTTTTCCATGTATGGGTGAGCTAAAGCTTGTTCGGCTGTTACCCGTTTCCCGGCATCTAATTCTAACATTTTTTCCAGCAAGTCAATAGCTAAAGGGTTTGCCCCTCTAAACACATCGCGGAAATTACGTCTTTGCATTGCCGGCAAAGAACATATATAGTTTCTGGCACTCTCTGACGATATTTTATGCATAAAATCCTCAGTTGGAGTGCCTAGAATTTCCATGATTAAATTAAGTTGATGTATATGATCAGTACCAGGGAATAAGGTGCGGCTGGTCAACAATTCAGCCATAATACAACCGACCGACCAAATATCCACTGTTTGATTGTAATGCATCCAGTTAAGCATTATCTCAGGGGCTCTGTACCAACGGGTTGCAACGTATCCCGTCATTTCATTTTCTGCTGGGCGTGCAAGGCCAAAATCCAATATACGTAATTCACAATCCTCGTTAACTGCAATATTCGACGGCTTCAAATCTCTATGAATAATGCCGGCGCTATGTATATATTTTAACCCGCGTAATATTTGATAAATTAAAAATTGTACATGATCGTCAGACAATTTTTGTGTTTTAATAATGTTATTAAGATCGGCGTCCATTAGATGCGTCACCAAATAAACTTGGTGAAAGTTCTCTAATGAATCTACTGGCTGTCCTGAATGAAATACATCTAATAAACCAATGATATTTTCATGATCCATATGTTTAAGCAGTCTAAGTTCACGATAAGTGCGTTTGGCATGTACAGCCGACTGAAATGGGCGAGCAAGTTTCTTAATAGCCACTTTCATGTTTGAAGTACGTACAATAGCTAAATAGAAAATCGTTATTAATTTAAAGCGTGTGAATAAAATTAATAATAAAAAAAAATTTAAATAATAATGCGGTCTTGTCTACTTTTTCGCAGCTAAATCCCTTCCATACCTTTACAAACCTGTCCATATGCACCACTGCCCACTTGATGCAATTGTTGGTAGATATCCGGTATTTCCCATTCTGTCCGATTAATATCTAGTTTATAGAACTTTGACATTATTTCCTAATAACTTATCGAAGTTGTGGTTAGCAACATATATTTGTATGCGCATATGATAATTGAGGGTAATACGATGATATCAAACGCTTTTTTTAACAAATTTTACACAATTAAAAAATGAATACCATTAGCAAAGTTGCCATAGTATCGTAATTCATTCCCAACAAAATGGATAATGTTATATTAGTATTTTCACGCAAAATGGAAACATTTCAAGTAGTTAAAGGGGACAACACAATGTGGGCATGCTTCATTGCCAGGCCTAGGAATTACTTTAGAGAGTTTGAGAAGTGCAAACAGGGAGAATTTATATAAATGAAAACAACCAAGATGTTGACAAGAACAAGTAAAGAAGTCAGCTTAAATGCAATCAACTAATATATGAAAAGTAACATAAGTAATTAATGTAAAAACATGTACGCATCGTCTTGCTGATCTTGATAATCAGGTTAAATTTTATGACACCATTAAAAAAGATTAATTGTTTTCATTCAATGTTCCAAAACTTCAAAAATACTCTTTAAACTAGTACAATGCACTAATAGAATAAAAAAATAACTTCGAAATAAACCGCTTTTATTTTCTATTATTCATTTTTTGCACAAGAAGATTGGTAAAAATATAAACCACATCGTATAAAAAAGATTAAAAAAATAAATTTTTCTTCACACTTTCTTACTTTCTGTCTTTTCTTTTGTTCACGAAAAAAAAACATATATTGCTAATATCACTATTGCATTGCAAAAAGTTGATGTACACTCATACTGTGTTGCCCCCTAAAACAATAAAACACTATTAAAGCATATTCAGTAGTATAACAGTTTTGTTAGAAAAAGAATAAGGGTTTTAGGAAAATCCTGGGAAAAACATAAAATTATTTTTGATAATAAAACTGCAATGGAATCCACTAAAATCTTTTGGCTGTTCATCTATAAACAATTTATGGATTTACGTTTCAATTGGAAATCAACGGGTTTTCTGTTGTTGTCCATTATTCTTGCACAGTATTTGATAATATATTTTGCATATCAGCCATTCGAACCATTGACCGTCTTTTATAGCCCGCAAGGACCAGAAACATTGGTAAATAACTAACAAATATGCACTTAACTGTTTTGTTTTATGTAAATTTGTTTAATCATTCGTAAATATAGCACGAAGGTTGTTTTTTCAATAGTGGCATAGTTCACAGCCAAACCTTTTATTCTCCGAACACCACGGAAGTTAACACATTTATAACAAAAATGTGTGGTGTTGATAAACACATCAAACGGTTTAGTCATCCTCAAATTATGGTAAAGCACATCGAAGAATGTAAGGAGTACTGTGTGGGCGTATATTTTCATAACTTTACATCATCGCGTCCTTTAGAGTATACAATTTATACAAATCGTATGAAATTGAAGACCGAGCAACGATATGTTACAGATAGTTTGGGGTCGTCATATAGCCGTAAGTAACTTTTTTTATGGAATCATTTCCCCCTACATTTTTCACATAAATATATCAATATATAAGCGTAATGCACATTACAGTGTTTATATATTTGTGTAAAGAATGTATAAAAATTCATATATCTTTTTCCAATTATTGCTTTTTTCATATTTTAAAAAAGCCAAATAAACACTTTAATATTCAATTAATCGAAAAAGTTGCAACCTTTAGGTTAGAATTTCATTCATGGGCAAGCACATAAAGGAAATGTAAATTCCATTGATCTGTTCATCTAACACATATAATTTTTTTTTTTAGAATCCCGTGATTATAAAGATTTTCTTAAATTACAACATTCCATCAACATGGCGTTTACGCAAGAAATCTCCGACGGTCAAAACACCGTTAAGGTACGAGTTGATTCAATGCCTTTCATGCGCGGCGGTTATTTTCACAATGAAACTGGTTTAATATTTGGCTACGCTTTTCCGATATGCACAATTGCGCTAATGATCATTACTTTTATCGTGCCTTTAGTGGAAGAGAAACGCGACGGTATAAAGGTAGTAACAATGAAAAACATTAATAAAAATATTTTTTAAATAACGATGTTAACATGTCAAATAGGAGTTTTTGGCCATCGCAACACCATTTTCATATCTAAACGGCTTTGCATTTTATATAATACGTTTGATGTTATATATGATATATGCTGATTGTGTTTTGGTGCTGGCCACATTGTACAATTCTTTGGGCGTAATTCCAGTAGTTTATGTTTTCTTACTAGTATTTTTATTTCTATTGTCCATGATGTCATTTTCATACTTGATATCGGTTTTTTTTAATGAAGGTAGCTAAAAGAATTTAGATAATTATTTTAAAAAGTTTAAGTAGTTTCCTTATTTTGCAGTTTTTCATGCTAAAGTTTGCAGTTTTTTCTTACACTGTGTGCCGTTTACGTTCCTTCAAATACCAAACAAAGTGGTAGTGTATTTGTTTAGTTTTAACGCTTTCTATGAGGCTTGGGAAGTCTTTCAAATTTTTGGTAATAAATGTAAGTTTGACAAATGACTTTAAAGAATACTTTCATATATCGTAAGTTGCCCTAATTTCAGGTGCGTCATTCAACTTCGCCGACTTGTTTGTTCATATCACTGAGACTAGACTTAGTATTTGTCAAGTTTATATCATATTAATAGTGCAGAGTATAATATATGCTCTTTTATATCAATACTTTGCCGCAATGTATCCGGGGATAGGTGGTATTAGAAAACCATACTTCTTTTTTTTAAAGGTAATTACAAATATATAAAAAATAACTTAATAACTGACTTCCTAAAATTTATAGTCAAAGTTTTGGAGAAATATCAATACTAACGACTATATAACAACAACAACTGACAGTAGTTCCGATGCTATTATAATACAAGACTTGCAAAAGGAATTTCAAACATGCGGTCGTAAAATTCTTATAGCCGATCGTCTAAATATGGTAATAAAAAATAAACGAATTACTGTCCTGTTGGGTCATAATGGCGCGGGAAAAACTACTACAATCAACATGATCTTGGGTAACAAACTAAAACTTTTAAATACATTTTAATACTAAATTAATTTAATACTAAATTGTATTTTCTTCTTATTACTGTAGGTTTAGTACGGAAGGATAAAGGCAAAATTACAGTTTGCAGTGAGCGTGATGCGTCATCTTATCGCCATCTAATTGGCTATTGTCCTCAACACAATATACATATGCCATACATGACTTGCAAACAGCATTTAATTTTTTTTGCAAAGGTAAGTCTGCATTCAATATAAGATAAACTATTTACTACATTTACGGTTTGTGGTTTGTTTTACAACAGCTTAGAGGTCTAACGCATCGTGAGGCCGCAATTTTAGCGAATAAATTACTTCAACAACTGAATCTTTCAAAAAAGGCTCATAATTATGGTAAAAATCTGTCAGGAGGCATGAAAAGACGTTTATCGTTGGGCATTGCTATGGCAGGCGATACAAAGTACGTATATTAAGTCAATCCTTTGCTCTAATCTATCTCAGAATATATAATGAATGCACTTAAAGAGGAATTGCTTTCAACTTTTATTTATAAGCCAAGAAAATACTGCAAAATAAGTTTTGCCAAAGTCTTCCTTAAACTTCAGCATAACATTCAAAAATTTCGAAGCGATATCAATTAAATTTGCGTTGCTCTTTTTTGTTCGTCAGAGTTATCGTACTTGATGAACCTTCATCCGGTCTTGACATAGAATCCAGACGCGAGTTATGGGATGTACTTCTCGAGTTACGTAAAACTAAAGCTATAATGATTACCACACATCACATGGAAGAAGCTGAAGTTTTGGGCGATACAATTAACATACTCTGCAACGGGCGTGTGCTATTAACAGGAGCTCCGCTAGAACTGAAGCGTAAAGTAGGCAGCGGCTATATTTTAAAACTGTGTACAAATCCAAGTCAATTCAATAAAGATGAGTGCTTACAGTTTATACGTGTAGACATACCTACTGCAAACGTTATGGTATTCATATTAAATGACCGTTTTTCATTAAAAATAATTTCGTTTGTTTTAAGGAAATTGTTCCGCCCACTGTACTCCTAAGTTTGCCCTACCAGCATCATGAAAAGTACGGCAAAATATTGAGACGTCTGGAAAAGTATCAACAAGAACTTGGGATAAATACAATTTCAATGACCGATACAACTTTAGAGGATGTGTTCTTACAGTAAATCAAACATTCATAATGAACTATATTTTAAAAAGGACGATGTTGTAAAGATCGCCATTTCTTATTCATTTATTGAATTTTCTTATTCATTTTTAAAATTGTTTAAATGAATGAGTTCTGCTGAAAAAAGAATGGCATTTGCAAAATTGTCTAGTGTTAATGGCTCAATGAAGTCAATAGGATAGAACTGTTCCGTTGGGCATTTTCCAAATTTTTGTTTTTTTTTTATTTATACGGCATAATGCTAAGATTATCTTAATATTACAGGCGCAAGCTATTGCGCATGTTATGCTAATATTTGATTAATCCGCTTGTTTGTTGCGTATGAAGTTGACAGGGATCTGTTCAATAATACATTACTAAATAAGCTGAATTAACCTTAAAATTATCATTAATCAATATGCATATATTTTCCAAAAAAAAAACTATTTTCATATCTTAGAATGTGTATATTCCCCATTTGATCCAAAGTGAATAAAAATTTCTTTTCCTTATTAGTTCTACTTCCAAAGTTGACGAAATCGATGGTGCGGTCAATTGCCATACGGATACTGACGCGAGCATTCCCTACCATCGCTTGGATTCTATGAACAGTGTCAGTTCATTTCAACAATTGAAAGCTATTGCTTACAAGAAGACCTTGTTTGTGAAAAATGAATGGCGCTTAGCTTCACTGATGGTAATCGCACCATTTGTTCTTTGAATATATTAAATATTAATTCGTACACAATTTCTTCGCATAAGATTTCTATTCCATTTTTATTGACAACAGTTGCAATTTTGATAATACATATGTCAACTGTGACCACATTTGGCAAAGGCTTGGATTTGTCCTTGCCTCATTACAATGATGGAGTTATATATATAAATATCCCACAAGATCCTCATGAAAGTGCACTACGGATTTCTCAGTTGCTACATCAACGAATTGTATTTAACGATCTACAAGCAAAAAACTTAGTTTTAAATGGTAGCAATAATGTTGAAGAGGGTAAGTGACGCTAATTAATGAAACAATAGAAAAGAAAAGGATAAGTGTGTATAATATAGCGCAAAGCCTTAAAGAAAACATTAATATTTGCGGAATGGAAAGCATTGGTCAGACTTAGGCAGGTTAATGCATTCTCAAACAAAATCAAATTTTCTGAATAACCAGATGGAATTAAAATTAAAAAAAAAAAAAAAAAAAACGATCGGATGGCAATAATAAAGCCAAACAATGATAGATAGATAGATGCTTAATATAACAAAATAAAAAATTTCCATATAGTCGGTTGTTCAATAAAAGCGGAGCATAAATAAATATTTTTTCTGCTGCATTTCTAAAATTATTAATATCAAATCGGAACACAAATGAACTGGCTTGTATAAGAAGTGCGCACAATTTCTGGGAACAATGCGATAATCAATGCTTCTTAAGTATCTGAAGGAAGTTTTTGCAAACAAATAGAAACAAATAAGTCTTATGATTGATTGATAGTTAAATACACAGCTCATGACAGTGAAACTTATTGAATGACATAGTTGCATATTAATATTTACTTATATTATTTAATTTTCTAAATTTTAGAATTGATTGAGATGATGAAAAAGGACTTTTTCACTTTTCAACGAGAAGTCATAGGTTGCGTCAAAATAGATGGCGGGAAGTCACCTACAATAACCATTTTATTTTCGGAAAATATGATCCATAGTTCGGCAATATTACTTAATATGGTAGATAATGTTATCAATATGTGGACAAAGGACGTAAATCAAACAACTCTTAAAACAATCTATGCCCCAGTAGCTATGTAATGTTACAGTTAGAAAGCCTTATTATATTACATTGTTTTTTATTCCAGACATGATTCTTCAGCCGCTTCTTTGCAATTATCTTACTACGCTCTCTTTGTGCCAGCAGGTTCGTCAATATAAGCAGTTTTTAAAGTATTTAATCTATTATATTTGATCTTAGGCATGTTTATGTTAATGTTTTATTTCGCTATGTTGCCCTTCATGGAAAACCGTAATGGATTCAAACAGTTGCAGCCAACATCTATTGCAATGTATTGGTTTGACGTCTTGATCATCGATTTGCTTCTGTATCTTGGCATCTGCTTTTTACTCTTTGTCTACCAAGCTCTAATAATGCCTCATGAACTATACGAAATATCAGATTTAATTAACATAATATCCGCTTTATTCTTCTATGGTTTAAGTTATTTGCCATTGGTCTACATGTTTGCAAATTTATTCACTGCATTGTCAACGCTGTCGTCATGCATGTCGGCCCTATTTTTTGTTTCATGTAAGTCGAGATATCTTTTCTGCAAGTGCTCTCTTTTTTTAATTTTTTCTCTTGCGTTTTCAGTCATTCCAACAATTGTGTTATCAATTTCCATCGGCGATATGATAAAATATTCTAATTTTATTTTATTACTGCGGTTTATGCCCGACTTTAATCTGGCTCATCAACTTCGTATTATTAATGAACGATTTGTTAATAACCATGAGGAAACTGTGCCTCAAAACTTACGACATGAATTGAATACTAAACACGTGTTAAAATTGGGCAACTTCTACTGTTACGCCTTAATAGTTTTTTCCTTCTTGATGGTAAGATTCTTTTATGTTTTTTCATTCTTTATCGGGTTTCCCTTATCTATCACCAGAGGTAACAAAAAAGATCCGGATAGTTTATATCCAATGATGCATGATGATCTGTCTATTGAGAATCTGATAGTGCCTAATAAAAATTTGTTAGCAAATGCAAGAGGATAATGTGTTATGTTTCACGAATAAAATATTCACACTATTTGGAAAAAAATATGATCTTTTTCACAGATACCAACTTGAATGCTGAGAAAGTCGATTTAATCATTGTCATGCAAGAATTTTTCAAGTGTAAATTTTCACTGTACATTATTTCAAAAATTTGAGATTTTTTTATGTATCTAACGGTATTCTAACGGGCGAAATAATTATGCCCGCTTATTAAGCACATACTTCCTGGATGTATTGACATACGGATTTTTAAAAAATCAGCCTGTGGTGGTAGGTACAGAAACCCTTATTGGAAGAGATAAATAATCTGTTATTTGCTTTTTATATCGTTTCCGACAGTCGTTCTTTGTACTTGTGGTGGAAAATAAGAAACGCCGTTATGCAATTGAAAACCTACTAAAATGTTCAAAAGGTGCAAAAAAATTTGATCAGTTTCCTACGCCTAATCACGAAGAAGACAGATTGGTACAAGAGGAAAAGTCGGTTGTTGATCAGATCCTTAAAGGTAGGATGGACTTAATATGGTTAATTATTTAGCGGTGGCTTTATTCCAGCAACAAAAAAAATGTATTTTAGTAATTTTCTGAAAATACCTTCATAACTACATTTATTAAAAAAATTTAAAGCAACGTTTTAGATACATAGTTTTTGACACCTAGTGTTCCATAGCTCCTTAGTTACCTCATCGATCTTTCCATTTTACATTTTGGTTTTGAAGACGAGATCTGAGTGCGGAAGATAAGGAAGACTTATACAATTTTTTTCCTACTACCGAAAGTAGTGCATTTTATAAAAACGCATGCAACATCTAGAAGAATCCCTATAGTGTATATTAGCACTCTAAATCGATCTAGGCACGATTGTTCGTTCGCCTTTTTGGTCCGTGATCTCGATTCCAAATTTGGGGAAAACGTTAGCTGTTATTTCAGATAAGGTGGAACAGAAATTTAACCCAGTTCGCAGAGGTACAACGCTACATAAAAAGAACACATATCTGTTTTCAAAAGCAAAAAAGGCGGGTTTTTACTTATTTCTCATAAATTGGAACTATAACGATGAAAAATACTTTCCCCTTACTCTTCACTTTTTTTAATTTTTACCTTTTTAAGATAGGGGTGGTGGATATAAGAGACTCGACAAAGACGAATATAATTATCTTGCTTGTTAATTTTTTAAAGACTAATTTTCAATTAGTTTGATTAGCGGTAATTTAGTAGACGTTCTTTTTTCCGCTTCCTTCGTTATGTTTCTTATAAGTGTAAAAGACTTAATTCAAAAAGCAATTGGTTTGCGGGCCTTCAAAGTGAAGAATATTTGAGCGCTAAAATTTGGTGTTTTATGTGTCATTATTTGAACAATTTCCTTTTTCAATTTTTTAAAGTTCAGACTGATTTTGAAAATTCATATTCGGAAAAGCAGGCGATTATGAAACACCATTTTAATAAACATGATTTTACTTCTTTTCTAGATAATAGCGAACATGAGTATCCGCTTTTTGTACAAAATCTCTACAAATACTACAACGAATTACCAGCAGTATGCGGATTAAATTTCGTTGTGCGAAAAAAGGAATGCTTTGGTCTTTTGGGAGTTAACGGTGCCGGTAAAACAACGACATTTGAAATGATAGCCGCGAATCGCATACTTTCAGCGGGTATCGTTAAAATTGATGGCGTCGACATATCACAGGAAACTGAATACAGACATCGTTTCGGTTACTGCCCGCAAAATGATTGTTTAAATAATTTTATGACTGGTTATCAAACTCTGAAATATATGGCTTTTTTACGTGGCATTAATGCGCCGCACGTACATCACGCAGCAATCTACTGGCTTGAAAAATTGGATTTATTAAATTATAAAGATATACAAGTGAAGTACTATTCCGGTGGCACTAAACGTAAGCTGCAAACAGCAGCTGCAATGGTAAGAACTGACATTAATAAAAAGAAATTGTGCAAAAACTTTGGCACATTTAGGATAAATTCGACATATAGAGCATACCTGACAGAGCTTCAATTGTCAATCTTTCAAAGACATATCCCAGAATGAAGCGTTCCTCCCTTTTTTTGCAAACAAATGAAAGGGAAAGTTATAATTATTTCTTATATAATAAGGAAGAGTATATTTTAGCGTTGTGATTGGTCGATAGTCATATGAGAAGACTACATTTCTTTTCTTATAGTTTCACTTTCAAAACTTCCTCTTTCTTTCAAAAACTGTGACTTGAAGATTGAACACATGTGAAATGAAAATGTTTTTGAAAAGATAAGTATAAAGAAAAGTGAGTCTTAAGCCCTTCTGAGGGGTGTTACATACACCCCCTACCACGATTACGTTAGGTTATAAACGGTATGATAGTAATCACCGCCCAAAAGTAGAATAGTCAAGAGTCAAAAAGTCACAGAGCAAATCTTTATCCTTTTCACAAATCTCGGCGTCCCACTACTGATTCGTATCTAATAATTACGTATACAATCGCGAATAGTTGCATTAATAGAATTTTAATGAAATTTTAGATTGGGAGTCCTTCCTTAGTGCTTTTAGATGAACCTACTACCGGCGTAGATCCAGCATCTAGACGTTTCCTGTGGAAATCTATGCAGGATTTTCAGAAACGTGATAGAACTATTGTACTTACTTCGCATAGGTAGATGCGACATGATAAATTCTGCTGTCTTTCTTTAATTTAGTATATTCTTATTTTTAGTATGGATGAATGTGAACACTTGTGTAATCGTTTAGCTATTATGGCTGATGGTCGACTCAAATGTCTTGGTTACGTTCCTGAATTGAAGCAATTACATGCTGCTGGATTTACTATTAGCTTCAAGTTAGTATCTACTGATGTCTCGGACGAAGACATTCAATTCATAACTCGAGAATTACGTTCACAATTTTCCAAATGTAATTTACGTGAAAATCATGCCGGCATCTTAACCTATTTCGTTAAGGTCAACAATTCAATTATTTGGTCTCAAGTTTTTCTCAAGTCCGAACAGTTTTTTAGAGCATCTTCACATTTAATTGAAGAATATTCAGTTAATGAGTCAACACTGGAAGATATATTCTTAACATGCGGTACAAGGAGTCATCGGAAGACATTTGTAAATGATGATTATAATCATAGGACTAATGAAACTATGACGACATCGCAAATTGAAGACGTCTAAGGAAATTAATGTACAATAATAAAAACGACTTTTACATTTTTAAGCTGTAGTGAAACTCATAATGTGTTCTTAATCTGCAATTTCGCAATTGATTAAAAAATTTAATGATTGCTTATTGTAAAAATTTCATTCTAAAAATCCACATAAATATTCCACATAAATACACTTTATTTCAATATTTTTAAGGGAAATAATTTTGATAATAAATAACTTATATTAAATCAATTATTTTCCATTTAAAAAACTCGTCAAATCATATATTTTTTTTAAATTTAAATCCAAGACATATCTAAAAAATGTAGTTTCCAATTTTAATAGAATAAATTCATAAAAACCAATAGTAATTTTTTCTTCACAAGTTGAAATTTGAACAATTCAAGCCAATCTTCTGATATACCCCAAAGCGCAATGCCCTTTACTCATTAATATGAATATAGCTCTCGGTAAGGTTAATGGTGCATACATGTAAAGTTATTTTCTAGGTACGTTCCGATAAGTTTTCAGTAAACTAATAATACCTCTCTTAAGTGAAAAGTGTTGCACTTTATATGTAGCGGTTACATGTTAGCTAGTCGTAGTTGTATCGATTTATCCACATTCTTCTATTATGAATAAAAATTAGTTTTCCATTTGTGACTGCAATAATTAAGCATTAACTTAATTTTTTGTTTACGTTTCCACATTCTTCATGCGAAGGTAAACAACGGCAAATATGACAGAAGATTTTGCATTTTAATTTAATTATAAAATTTAATAATAGAGATAAAAAAGAGAAAGATGCAAAGAACTAAATCTTCACGGTTTATAGTATGGACCGGGGGCGCTTGACTTTTTCTATTTTCAAATAAAAAAAGATAAATAAAAATTTTTGTCGACTGGGCGTTGTAAGCGTGTCCTTGGAAAAGTTTAAATGATTTCCATATTCTTTTGCAAATTTGCAGGGGATATCTTCATTCCCGTTAATGGGTGAATGTTTATCACAAACACTACACAGATATACAGGCAGACAGATGGACAGGCGAATAGACGGACATGTTTAGGTTCATTCCAAGTTTGAAACTGGCCAACAATTTATAAACTTTAGGAGGGTTTTGAAGCTTGTTTCTCCACGTTATAAAGGTATTGAAAAAAAAAAATTTGATGGATTATAATATTAAGCAGGCGTGGTCAATCTTTTCTATTTTCGTACAGGTATTACAGCCTCGTCCATAGTTTATCATTTATTACTTTTGGAAAGCAGAGATGTTCTCAGTTTACATGGTACGGTGGGCGTCTCCTTCCACCGATTTGGACCATTTTCAATACCAACCTGCGTGCAAGAAATTTCAATGTTTCTGCTAAATTTGAAGTTAAGCTCCATTTTTGCGGCCAAGAGAATGTTTAAAACCTACATTACACCGACGGTCGTGCTTAAATCGACTTAAAATTTGATGCTGGTCAAGAATACTGATGCTTCCTTCTGGGCGTTGCGAACGTTTGGAAAGAGTTCTATCTTATTTCCGCACGTTATGTATGAGAATGTTTAAAATATGTCATAAACGAAATAAATAACCTCCATCTAAATAAAAAAAATTCAATTGGAATATGTGAGAAGGGAAGAAAGTGAATAAACGAGCACAAGGAAAATTATCTAGTGAAAAAGTTGTATCAACTCGTTAAGTGAAATTAGAAAAATCTAAGCTTCCTAAATACAACACACTCACACCATCATCTCTAGAAGAACAATTGCTCTTACAAAATACGCGAAATATTCCTATCAAGCCACGTTTCTGAAAACGCGAATATATCAAACACATTATCCCTTAAAATAGTTTCACTTTTATTAAATTTAGCAGAGTTTGAAGAAAGTCTTTCACTTCGGCAATTTGGATGACCAGCTTTAAGTTGATTGTGACTGTTTCAAAGAACACTTTTCAGGTAAGAATTACCAATGCTTACAGTACGATGTTGTCACTAAGAGACATCGAAATCAATGAAGAACGCTACGGCAGGAAACAATCAATGTAAGTGCAATACGACAAAAATATGACATAATAACATTCAGTCTTATTATATCCTAAACCACTTGTTGTAGTGGGGATATATGCAAAACCCAGAGGTGCTTAAGATACACCCATCTTTTATTATGCTGATCAATTCAAAATCATTTTCTAAGTTGATCTAAGTATGTCTGTCCGTCCGCCCGTCTGTCGGTCCCTCTTTTTGGACCACCCCCCAATTTTCAAAAAAGTGGCTAACTAGTAGTGTTTCGGCATTCTAAATTGTTGTGAAAACTTTGGACTACCTGTGGCAATTTTTTTGAGACTCCTCTCATATAACCGTTCCTGCGGAAACTAAAGTTTTATATTGTAACAATGTCGAAATTCCAATGTTTGGCTCATAATAGTAAATTGATAAAGAAATCTACCGAGTTTGCACCATGTAGGTCTACTTTTTGGATACAAGAAAAGGTAAATCCTTACGCTAAAAAAGCCTAATTGCTAATTTTTGATGAAAATTTGCTAGTAATTGAATAAAAGAATTAAGTGGCCTTGATTTGAACCACATGAGTCTATTCCTTTCCCCATATAATTTAACTGATGATATCTTAATAATTCATAGCAGCGTTTTGGCAAAAAAATTAACAGTAGGGAATTAGAATCACATAGGTGTATTTGTTTTGGATCCCCACTTATATAAGCGCTATTACGAAAAGCAAACTCTTATATGGAGAGAAAATCGAAGCTTCCAATATGCGGACTTACATGAAAATTATGGCTTTTCATGAAAATAATGTGTATATCTTGGTGCATTATTACCAAAATGAGCGAACTAGGTGAAGTGGTATAGAGTATGTCATATATGTCGTCCGACTATAATATTCTTAATTGTTTAATCAATTGATTGAGGAAGTTTTTAAACTTAATCGATCGATGATCACAGTTATGAACATAATATCACTTTTATCACTATAACTTAGGCGAAAAAGACCGACTGACAAATGGTACATGACCAAATTTGTCCTGCTTTTTGCTTACACTGAGAGTATATGGTATACAGTGAATGAGATTCCATGTTATGACAGAGGTTTAATCGACCTATTGTATGGAAAGTATTTCATTGAAGCATCAAAACTTTTTAGGTTTTATGTTTATGTTTAGCTACTTTAGGTGCAACTCATTTGCGAAGCGAGAACGGAAAGATCATTCTAATAATCATCTGACTCTATGAGCAATGTAGCAATAAACGCCATCTCCCAGGATTGGGGAAAATTTACATGTTTAAGAATAAGATCAATTTTCTTTTAAACTCAAGTTGCCGAGCTGAGCGGACAATAAATAAACGTTCATTTAAACAGATTTGCTATTCTATGTAGATAGCTGTAGTTGTTCTATTAAGAAGTGGGGCAATGATCATCGAAAGGCTTTGTAGCGACATATTAGTAAATATAGATTTCAGATAGTCATAAAAGAAAATTTTCGAAAAAAGCTGAGCGTGGGGGGAGTGGTCACTAATCGTTTGGCGGGATAAGTTTAGGTTTGTCCAAGGTCTAAGCTGAGTCGCTGGAAATAATGCAATGGTGACATGAAATAGGATATTGACCTTAAGCAGACAAATAGAAGGCTAGATAGTATAAAGTTTGTCGCGTAAGACATGTTTTGGAAGAGATTGTCAGCGTTTTAATCCCGACTGCGAATATGCGAATGCAAATTCGTTTGCAGCTATAAAACCGGTAAATATTACTTGCATAGGGAAAAAATTTACAATCGGTTCCGAGCCGGAAAAGTCATGCACAGAAAGTTTAAACAGAAACGGGCTCATTCTGGAATATACGTGGTTACGTTTGCCACGTAAAAAAACTATCTAATAATTCCTCAAAAAAGTCGTTTAGACTTTGTCTCGCTCAGTCATTAAGCAAATAAAATCGATGGAACTGACTATGAAAATTTTCATTCATACTACTTACAATATTGCAAGAGCTCGATTCGACATATAAGATTAGGATTTTGTGCACTTTAAGATGTCTGGTTGCTTTTCGATCAAACTATGTATAATTATTTAAAAATATATCCGGGATTAGCTGATTTCAGTAACACGTAAAAGTTTTATCTTCGCGAAATTTTATTTATGTAACTACGATTGTTGACCAAGGCGTTCTACGTTCAGAACTTTTGTCGTTTGATTTGAAGAAATCTATTAGACATGTTCAGAAGTTTATAGTCATATCCCAACTGTCAGGTTTGGTTTCAACGGTTTAATGATTCTATGATTTGATTGACTTCTTTTTTTGTTTTCCTGAAATATGGGGTTTAAATGGAGTAAATGTAATGTATATATGTGAGCAAAGCAAAACGTAAGTGTTCAGTGAAAGTATTGTTTTTTGTAAAAACATACACATTAATGATCGCCCGTCGGTGGTTAAATATCGAATAAATGATAGTTTATATCTGCTTCCTGGGACGGTTCTCCACGCCACCTTTGAGGTACCGTGATAGGCGCGTTGCCAATTGTTTTAAATGGCTGGCTCTTCTGCAGGCCTACACCGTTATAATAGTATTTATACATTATAATGGTAAAAATGTAAAAATATATATACATTCATAATAATAGAATAATATAACAATAACAATACAATGAGGTAATTAAAATATATACAATAATAATAAAAAATAAATACCAGCCCCGTTTAAGTAATTAAATCTAATCTAAATAAGTTGGGAACGTTGCTGAGGCCGGTTTGTTGATATCTGCAAAAGAAAATTTTGTAATTAATAAATTGTATACACAAAGATGGCCACAAACTTATCGTTAACCTATGGAAGTGTCGCATTCTGCTGAAGCGATGCGTGGAGGCGTATGCTTGTTTTTGATTAGAAATAATAATAAGTAAAGATAAGCACAAACTTACCCATGACATACAGCAAATCTTCGTGTAGCTGAGGCAATGAGCATGAACTTCTTTCTTGGACTTCTTTTTTTATCTAATGTAATGTAATGTAAGTAATATATAAATGTAAGGGTATAATAATTTATTTATTA